ATGATCCCTCATCCCATGGTGGCGGATGATCTCACCCAGTGGTTTCATGTAGATGTTAAAAAGGAGTGGAGAGAATACTGAACCCTATGGCACCCCACAAAGGAGGAGCCACGAGCTGGACCTCTCACCTCCTATCAATACTGATTGGGACCAGCCTTGAAGGAAGGAGGTAAAACAGTGCAAAACTGCACTGCCCACTCCCAACTCCCCAAGCCAACCCAAAAAGATACCATGGTTGATGGTATTGAAAACTGCTGAGAGGTCAAGAAGAACAAGGATGGATGCACTACTCCCATCCCGCTTCCACCAGAGATCATCCAAGAGTGTGACCAATGCTGTTTCAGTCCCATATCTGGGCCTGAAACCCAACTAAAAAGGGTCCAGATAATCCATTTCATCCAGGATCCTCTGGAGCTGCAGTGCCACCACTTTCTCAACTGCCTTCCCTAAAAAGGAGAGGTGGGAAACTGGATGAAAATTGTCCAGTATGGTGGGATCCAGTGATGGTTTCTTGAGGGAGTGCACCAGCACCTCTTTAAAGGCAGCCAGAAACACCTCCTTTCTCATGGATGAATTCACCATTGCCTGGACCCACCCATGTGTCACTTCCTGAGCTGCCTTAACCAGCCAGGAGGGGCATGGATCTAATTGACAGGTGATGGCATTTACAGACTGGAGGACCCTGTCCACTTCCTCAGCCCCAACAGGATCAAACTGTTCCCAGATAACAGGGTAAACATGATCTCCAGGCATCTCCACAGGCCATGCCCCACACTTGGTATCCAACTGGGAACAGATCTGAGGGATTTTATCCTCCAGATGCCCAGAAAACTCCTCAGCATGGCCTTACAGGTGGGCCATTGGGCCGTCCTTTCCCAGAAGAGATTGGGTGATCTTAAACAGGGCTGCCGGGCAGCATTTTGCAGATGCAATAAGAGTGGAGACATATTGGTGTTTCGCCACTCTTACTGCCACACGGTAGGCCTTAATAGCATCTCTAGCCTGTGTTTGGTCAGGTTCGGTCCTTGTTGTCCTCCAGCAGGGCTCTAGAGGTGTCTTAATCCTTTTCAGGAGCCTCAACTCCTCCGTAAACCATGGGGAGTATCGGGCTTGATGGGTCAAGAGAGGTCTCACGGGTATGGGATATACAGGATTGGTTGGCCCTTCCTCCTCGGTCACTATTTATTTATTTGTTTTGATTAATGAAGACATATATAGAACTTGCTACCCTTCAAATAATGCTAAAATGTAACTCCCAAGAGTTTTTATCAGCATGAATTATTGTGAGGGATTCTGGGAGTTCTAATTCAGCAACATTTGAAGAGCCAGACAGTTCTTCAATCCTAAGGCAAGGATTCATCCTAGAGTTTTCTGGGGCTATTCCAAGTGGGCTGAATGAATATTAGAAAAAAGCAATTACACAGTAGCGCTTAGTGTTAGGATAGAGTTGGGAAAAAAGAAATAGTAATCATCAAATAAATAATAACAATATTTCCTGGAGTTGTGTAATACCAGGGCAGGGGTAAAATTGGGTAGATGAGCAACAGCAATAATAAGATAAGCATCTGTGTGATATCAAAGATAAGGTAGAGAAAACAGTGGGTAATAATTCTGCTTCCATAAATGAGTGTTCAGATTGTGCCACTTTCTGCCTTTCATTTCCTTGATGGACATTTTCTGGCAAGGAAAAAGATGGAAGAAGTTGTAGGAAATATAGGAGAGTTACAAATAAAAGCTGAGGTTGCCTGGATCCACCATAAAATTCTGTGAATATGATCGGCCATTTGAGAGTAAACGCTGTGTCTAGATGCACCAATAGAGCAATAACATGAGTCTATCAGAATCTATATGCTACAGTATAGCTTAGCTGGTTCACAGGAAAGTTTTCTTGAGTTGTATATGGGAGGAAATCATGCACATAAGTCAGAACCATACAAAATTCTATTTCATGCCGAATATATGTGGTAAAGTAAGGTAACTTCAATGATCATCATTATTGATGGTGCAAATAAGTTTTCTCTCTAATCAAGTAGTGGAGGACATGTTATTCATAGAGTAGCTGTGAGAGATTATAATTTTTATTGGGATACTAGATATTTTGAGAAGAGGTTAGTTTTTACTGAAAATTCATCCTATTTTGGAATCGAAGAGACCAGAAAACTACTGATTCATCTGAACTTTCATCTTTTCTTAGCTAAAATCTGCCAACTAAATCTACTAGTGACACCATGGTATACTGTACATACAAGATATCTGGAACTAGGTAGTTTAATTTATAAATGAAAGCATCAGGATGACTCAAGATGGGTTGTTGCCTGAACTGGTGTTTCTACTCCACCCCCACCCCCACCATTCCATCTACACAAGCTGACCAGACTGTCAGTTGTCTCTCACTTAAATGAAGGTTGCCTCTTTCATACTAAAGGTAAAAGGAAAGTTAAGGAAAGCGGGAAGATTATGTAACATATCCCTTCCACAGATCACTGCCACTCTGTGTCCTTCAATATCTGAAGCCTGAAGTGGCCACTTAATCTTCTTTATAGGTGAACCAGTTCTGTTTGAAATGTTCCATTCATGAAAACAAAAGTTCCTTTATATAGCACACATATATAACTTGCCAGAAATCCCCCTTCACAAGAAAAACTAAGACAAAACCAAACCATATTATGTGGGACCCAGGCCAATAACTTTTTTCTGGAACTGTAATTCGTAGAATTTAACAGTCTACAAATTCTTTACCCAGAATGATAGCTAGTTTTGTAATTCTTTGGAAATTTCCATTTATACTTAGTGATAAAACATCACAAGGGAGTACCATTTAGATTATGAGACTAGCATATCAAATTTGCCTACATTCATGGGAGAGTTCAATTCATGGGCTCAAATTAAGGTTTGTGTATAAATGCCCAAACACAAAACATACAAAATTGGGAAATATGAGTCCATGTTTCAGGAATTCTAGATTACAGAATTCTAGATTAACTTTGCATATATTAACAATTTTATTTTAGAAAAAGAATGCAAGCTATTTTATAGGAAACATAGCAGTTTTCAAGGTTCTTTGCTGATTTATCAGTTGAATACTTCAGCAGATTTTCATAATTTTCTGAAAAGTAAGCAGAAGAGCAAAGTTTCACATTGCTGACCCTTATTCACAAAGCCATCTGCTGTGTAAAACGTTAATATTTTGGATGGAAGGGTGGAAACAAAAGTTATATGTAATGAAGATAGAAGCTTCAGATACCATCAGAGACAAGCAAGAATTCTGGGTGATTATATTATTCCAAATTGTGCCAATTCATGAAGTTCCAGATGGCTGAAAGCTTCCCAGGGGCAGATCACAGTGATATCTGCAAGAGAGACAAAGAAATTGCTGCAGCTGATCAAACTGTAACAAGGTCATATAAGAAGGAATTCTATGAGTTGAATCTTCATGCAAAAACATCCAATCTAACAATTTTTCTTAAAATGTAGTTAACTTTATTATTATGGTCCATGACTAAAACAGTACAATTTCTAGGCAATTAAAAATAAAGTGGAGCGTTATATAACAAGTAAAGCATAAAAAATAAAATACTCTGAACTAATTTACTGAATTACTAAGACAATTAAACAAATTGCCTGTTATTAAAAGCAAGATCAGTAAGAGACTTAATTCAAAGTCTCTTACTAATTTAGTGTGACTAAAATTGTTGGCTACTTAAATGATACAGTAGCTCTTGGAAGATTGATATGAATAAATGTCAATTATCACTGGATGTTACTCAATATTGTAAAATCGAAAATCACAGCCTTAAAATTGCGCCCTGAGGTTCCATAACATTCTAAACTGGGAAAACTAAATGATTTTGTGACAATGGTAATGGCATTCAAGAAAAATTTAGCTATTCTCCTGGAGGTCATTTCTAAAGTGACCTTAAAGTGTACATTTGCACATAAAATGGAGCATATGAAGTGCAAGGAAGACAGCCCTTAATCTAACATATGCTATTAGGCAGATTAGGAATTGATGGCTATTTTGTTCTATTTCTGGTGTGAAATGTCATACAATTTCATTTCTAAAACCATTATAAATTACTTGCTAATTACAAGCCATTTATTTTCATTTTGTAGATAATAACTATCTCTTTTTTGTTATGGTATCTCAGAAGAGAAGGCAGATTAGGGGGAATAACTAAAGGCATTTCTGAATCCTATCAAAATCTTTTGCGGTATGCAGATATTCTGTTAGAATAATTTCAGTGGTTTGAATAAGACTAGTTTTGCTATCTGTCAAAAATCCAGCTCTAGTGAGTCATGCATATAATCATTAACAGTTCTTGCATTGTACTTGAATCTTTTATAACTGTATGTCTCACCTGAAATGGTGTGCCATATATAGTACAAATTCATTGATAAAGACCAGCTGTTAGTTACATTATACACATTTATTTATTTATTTATTTATTTATTTATTATTTATAACACTTATATAGCTTATGTA